AGCAACAACAATCTTTCACCTTGTGGAGAAGGAAATAACACACCTCCAATATCTTTCTCAGGTAGAAGGAAGAAATGACTTCCAATTCCGTTTGAAGAATCAAAAGGCCAAGAAGTCATTGCCTTGTGTGACACAGGAGCATTGAGATCCTTTATTACTGAAAAAGAAATCAAGTTAATGGATGTTACAATTATGGATAAAGAAACAATTGGCTTACCAATTATAACTTCAGCTGATGGGAAAGCTTTAAAGCAAAAAGGAAGCGTAAAGCTGAATATCCAATTTGCTGGAGAAAGTATGGAACAAGAATTTATAGTTATGGAAAATCTAGACATAGCAATAATACTTGGTTGTGATTTCCTACAAACTGTGGGAGCAAACCTCAATTTTGAAGCTAAACAGTGTTCTCTCAAATTTGATAGAAGGAAAGGGAACCTGGCTGAAAGAATAAGGCAACCTCAACTAAACAAAGTCACTATAGCCATGATGGGACAGCATGACTCTTCATCAGAAAGCTCAGATAGTGATGACTCAGAGATGGAAGTTACTAATTCTGATACTGGTTATGACACAAGCAATACTTTCAAAACAGACAGTAATTACAGTCTCAATGAACCTTCAAGCTCATCTGAAAGTGATGACACAGAAACAAATAATGAACTGGATCAAAATACAGATTCAGAGGCAAACATTATCTCTGATAGAGAAGATGAAATACCTAGTTCAGACAATGAGTCAATAATTATTGAAAGCGAAATTATTGATATAACCCATTCTGATAATGAGTCAATAATTATTGAAGGTGAAATTATTGACATAACCCATTCAGATAATGAGTCCCTCATAGTGGTAGATTCATCCCAAGATGAGAAAGAAAATACAAGTGATACAGACAATGAGTCAGTCATATTTTTAGATGAGACTAAAATCATCTCTGAACAATTAGATTCCCAACAAGAAGTGGAACCACAATATATAGAGTTAGAAGATGGAATAACTATCAGAGTGGAACAACAACACAAAATTTTCAACCATTCAACTATAGCCAACACAGGAAGAGCTAACATGAAACAGATGTTGTGGCTTCCACTAGTGATGACTGTAATGGTGATCTGTGGCTGCATCCACTCAATAACAGTCCCAAAACCATCCTACCAAGGTGCACATGTTACAAGTGCAAACATTACCTTAACATTTAAACCACCATTATACTTTTGTTCTAACCAACTACCAAGCCAGGCATTTGATCTAGCAGATGAGCCAACTTGTAATATAGAATCACAAGAAACCAAGACAATTACAGCTGATATCTATGAATTGAACTTGGAAGAAATTGAAACAAGAGCAGTAAAATGTCAAGTGTATCTAAGAACTAATTTTTACACTTACTATTTCTTTGGAGCAAAGAAGAGGAGAATTGTTAACTCAGTTATCAAAGTAACTCATGATCAATGCAGACAGATGGTAAAAGACAAACGATCTTTTCAAGGAAAACCTTTAATGGTGAAAAGAAACACTTGGATCCACCAAGATCAGTTTCCTGCTGCCTACACATGGCCAACAACTACCAAGGTGCTGGAATACACCACAATTATCCAGTTTGGCAAAGCATATTGGCAACCTCCTAATATGAAAATTACAACTAATCTGGACTACCTGGAAGATTGTTTACCAGGGCAGTCCTATTGTGAGACAGAAGAGGCAATTATTGTCTTTAGAAACCTCAAGAATAATTACACACTTGGGCAACAATCACCATGGATAAAAATTAGCAACAGAATTAGTTGTATCAAATTTGCTGGTCACTATTCTTGTCCAGGGTATTCTATTCTGGACATCCCTTATCAAGATAAGTTCATTGATGGAATTGGTGGTCCTGGAACAAAAGTACTAGTACCACTGGAGGAACAGAGTTTAATACAGGAAACAAGCAAGGAACACCTATACAATTTGCTACAATATCAGAAGATTGGCAAAAATGAAGAAAAACGACTATTAAACTATCCCAATAAAGTTAAAGAACAAATTATACTATACAAGCGAAACAACCCCTTACCAAGTCTTAACCAATGGTACAGAGAAACAAACACAAAGTATAAACTAATGAGAAATAAAGGCACACTCAAGGAAGTTGTGATATATCATCTACAACAACCCATTAGTCCATCTTACTGGGAGCTGGATAACTATTATATCCAAGAAATGCTGCAAGCAGTCAATTGGACAAGGGCAACAAGACAATCTGTTACGATTTCAAAATATGTATACAGTGAGAAAAGAATCAAAAAGAAGGTATTACCAACATTGGGCATATGGTATAAAGGACCACCAGCCAGAGAATTTAAGATTACCTATGAAGGAATTTATTTTACTCTACACATGAGAATGGCTAAAAAGCAGATGAAGAAGGAAGCAAAACTGAAACATAAGATAAGTAAAAACCCATACCACAAATTCCCATTGGAAATGAGAGAAGCTGCCCAAACATCTACCTTACTACATGGTATTGATTCAAATTTTAAGAATTTAAAAAAGTTTACCCAACAGCTGTCAAGTCTTCTCTGCAATCAATTTGTTCAAAGAAGCAGAATGATGGCATTACTAGCAAATTTGGATCCTCAATTGACCACAGTGTTAACAAATGAGTTGGGAATGCACAGTAGTCAGATGGGAGAATTAGCTATAATTAAACAATGTTCACCAATAGCCTCAACAGAAGTAGTTTGTGACTTAAGCATGATAAAAAAGAATAACAAATGTTCTCAATTTTTACTTGTCACCATGAACAACCTGCTTTTCCAAGTAGAACCAGTTACTCATGTTTTACAGCAAGTCAATCCTGAAGAGATTACCTATAATGAGTGTAAGTTTAACAAGTTATTCTACAAAACAACTCACAACCCATTAAATCCTATAAGAAACCAACCAATGAAAGACAAAACATATGTGTATTATTCAGAAAGAGGATGCAGATTTCACACTGTGTCTGCAAAATCCATGCAGTTACATATCCACAATCACCTTTCTGAACCAAAAATTGAAATTGCCAGATTAGCTGATCTACTCCACCATGGGGTAAAGAAGGATATTGCATACCAGCACTCAAAAATTAAGCAAGTTATCAGTTCACTGGAACAGAAGCAGGCAAGGTATGATAACATGGTCACTGTTGCAGAGAAAAATGGCATTGTACCCAATTTATCTGGAATTAAACAGTTTTTCCATAGTTGGTACTATAAACCTGGGAAAACACTTTATGTTATCATACGAAATATTTGTTTGAGTATTGTAGTGTCAATGGTATGTATCATCATTTTCAACTATATTATTGGAAGAAGAAAACAAAGAGAAGAAATTGCTACCCCAAGTGAGAGCACAGATAACTCTCCTGAAAACCCAAAACTAATGAAACAAAGTTGTAGCTTTAGTCAACATCAAACTAATGAAGAAGAACAACCACCTGTAATTCTCATTAAATCAAGATGAAGGGACTCATCTTCACAAAGAAGGGGGAAGTTGTACAACTTTGGTTATATTTTACATGCTTGAACTCTATTATTTTATGCAACATATACATGTACATCTTAAAACCTACGCAAGAAAATGCTATAACATTGGCCAAACATAAGTCTGATTAGTCAGCTTGAAGGCTCATCTTTAATTACCAATAAAGGTTTGGCCAAGTTATAATTTAATTAACTTGCCTAGGGTGTGGCCAAGTTATAATTCAATTAACCTTCCTAAATGTTGAACCTTGTAACATCCTGTTACTAAAGATAAATATGAACTACACATTTTGGCAACTGTAAAGTGATGATTGGATGTCAGAGACAAACCTCAAAGTATATAAATCCTCATTATTCTCATTTGGCATGCAGCTTCCATCTGGACCCAAGGACCTGGGAAAATCATCTGGAAACAACCTCCACTGGAACCATCCATCTACTCCTCAACATTGGAAGACAGTTTGGTAATTTGGCAACCTGCTATTACAAACTATCTACTCTGCTATTGAACTCTCATATTGTTACTTGCTTAAGTATTATTATTGCGAATAAACCATTTTAATTTAAACATTTGTTTAAAGGTTCGAGTAGAACCAGTATTGTTATAACTTGCAAGCGCATAGATTTTGCCAGCAAGAACAGTACACTACTCCAGAGCTGCAGACAAACCCAGATGGGTACAAGTCACAAAGAGCCAGACTGCACCTGATACCAATGGGTTTAAAGGTTCTCTAAGCGACAAAGAAAAAGCCCTGACTAGAGCTATGAGTAAAACTTACAGTTCTATTCACCAGATTGAGAGACTTAAGGAATATAACCCTTGGACCAAAAAGGCCATGGACATGATGGACTCCATTAGAATCACAGGAGGTCCCATCACTGGGGAAAGACTCAACCAACTACATGAAATAGCCAATACTTGTGCTGGAGAAACAAATAGAGTTGTTCTGGAGGAGCTCAATGAGAGGCTCTCTAAAATGAGGGACAAGATAAAAAATGATCAGCAAAATTACAATCAATCAGAGGTCAAGAAAGCTATTGAAGTAGCTAAAACCAGATCGATACAGAAATATGGCAAAAAGATTAACTGGGGCCAACTCAAAGAAAGTGTATACTTGGTCACCAAAAATCTAAAGGCTCCCTTAGATGACTCTTTCACCAGAGAGCTCCATGAAAATTTCAAAGAGCTCCCTACTATACAGAGATCCAAGAAACCAGCAGATAAAACCAGACACAAAGAACCTTACAAGAACTCTAAGGATGAAATCTCAGAACTAAGAAAGGAATTGGCAATCATGACTGTCTTATTTAAAGGAATTACAGAGAAAATGAGTGCTGATGAGGAGACTATGGACCAGGGAAACTCCTAACTCTTCAAGCATAACAGCATAACAATTATAATGTTTTTAAACATGTTTTTATCAATAAAACAGAACCAAGTATGGTTTTTAACCTATGTAGGAACTCTAACATCAAGAGTTCTTGCCTGAACACTATGGTACAAGGTCTAGGCTTTGTCTGGACTTGGGCCCCAAATAAATTTATAAACTTGCACTTCACAGGGATCTTGGATTATACATTAAAATGGCTAAAGATCATTGAGAAAAATGGTACACCAAGATTTCGAAATAATCCACTAAAGAAAAAACTTCTTGACATACAAGCACCATCTCTACCTGAACTAATGAGGGAATTAAATTACATGCCCTCTTGTCATATTCCAGAAATTAACCATATCACAGACAGGATATATGACATTATAAAGGGCTCTGAAAAAATTAATAGAGCCCAAAAGGGTCTTGAAAATCAAGGCCTAATGAAAAACTTCCTCAACAATCACTCTAACATTATCATTAAACCAGCTGATAAAGGCAGAAGGATTGTCTTAATGGACAAAGAGGACTATGTCTTTGAAGCTATGACACAGCTCTGTGACAGAACAACCTACAAACAAGTCAGCAATAAAATAAGCTCTACCCAATGGACCCGGTTAAATGAAATCCTTAATGAATTGGTTACAATGAAAATCATTACCAAATCTACAGCAACTCTGATGGCTCCACAAAATAGCCCAGGAGATAGAAAGTTTTACCTCCTACCTAAAATTCATAAACACAGCTCCCAATGGAGAGTACCAAATAGGATCCCCAAGGGGAGACCAGTGGTGAGCTATGTAGGCTCTGATCTATATAAAATATCTAAATTTGTTGATCACTATCTGGTCAAAATGGCAAAAAGTACCACTAGCTATGCTAAAAACACCCAACATTGCATTGGCAAACTATCTAAGATACATTCACTAAAATTTAAGTTCCACTAAAATCTATCCAAGTGCCACAAGGTGTTCTAGAAAATTCTGTAGGCATATTTGACTCTTTCTTACATCTAATGTGCACTTAGATATAATAATATATCCTAACCCTTATTGATAAATGATTGGAAAGGACGAATACTGTTCTGAAGAAGCAGAAATTCCTACAATTACAACACAACAAAGTACAAATATGGTGCAGTCAACAGGGTTATATTTTTTTTCTATTTTAGCTAACCAATCAAAAACTGTTTTTGGTGAGGAATTGGTAAATTTTATAATACATTCATTCAATTGTCTAAAATCTAATGAGTTAATATTGAATGAAAGACCTAAAGAAGAATTAATGGAATTAATGTTTAGTGAACAAAATTCACAAGAATTATATAAATTATTAGAAAAAGAATTTGCAAATTTAAAAGTACCTTTAAGCAGAACTGAACTACAAGATTTAAAAGAAAAAATGGCTAAATTACAGGAAAACTATATTGCCAAATTTCATCAAAATTTACAAGTAAAATTCAATAAAAACTTTATTTTAGAACAATATTTTAATCATTACAAAAGGAAATTTTCAACTATGGATTCTCAATTCTCTGACAAGAAATATCAAGATTTTCAAAAGAGAGAAATTGAATCAGCTAAGAATAAAATGAGAAATGAAAAGAATGAGTTTGATTCAAAATTGTGCCAAATTCAAAGGAAAGTGAATGAAAGAGAGGAAGAGAGAAAGAAGGAAAAGCAGAGAGAAATGTCACATTTCATTTGGGTTTAATGATGAACCTTGTATTGAATTTCCTGCAAGTCACTCTAGAGGGTGTCCCAGAGGGCATCCCAGAGGAAGTCCAAGAAAACATTAATGAAAATTATATAGAAGCTGAATCAAGTAGTTTCTTTCTTCATAGAAAAGCATAATAATAGACACTAGATGGCATTACTAAAATTTGCAGAAAAATTACTCATTGTTTATCATTTAGCAATTGAAGAAAGATTCCTTTCACGTTTTCTTCTAGTTGATTAGCATTTCCTTGTTCAACTATTCTTCCCTTATCCATCACAATAATCTTGTCACTATCCATTATAGTATTTAATCTATGAGCAATTGTTATTATTGTAGAATTCTTTAATTCTGTTTTTAGTACATGTTGAATAGTCTTATCAGTTTCAATGTCTACATTGGCTGTTGCTTCATCAATAACAATTAGATAAGAATACTTTAATAATGCTCTTGCTAAACATACCAATTGCCTTTCTCCTATACTTAAATTTTTACCCCCTTCAATTATAGTTGAGTATAATTGGTCAGGTAAATTGTTTACCTTTTCAGCTAATTGAACTTTATGTAAACTAATCCAAATTTCATCATCTGAATATAAATTGCAAGGATCTAAGTTTGATCTAAAACTTCCAGAGAATAGTATAGGATCTTGAGGAATGACAGATATCAATGATCTTGCTCTCTTTAGGCTAACATTTCCTACAATATTGACATTATCCAATAGAATTTTTCCTTCCACATTAGCCATTCTTAAGAGAGCTGCTATAAGAGAACTTTTACCAGCTCCAGTTCTACCTACAACACCAATCTGGACCCCAAAAAAAAAAAGTTATATATCTTTTTTTTTATATAGAAACAAAAACAAAAAACCTTTTCTCCAGATTTGAAATTGAAATTTAAAGAAGTTAGAGCATTTGGTAAATTTTTATCATATTTCAATGAAACATTTATAAATTGTAAATTTCCATTTGTGGGCCAATTTTCTGGTATTTCTATTTCCTTTCTTTCTATGAAATCTTCCTCAGGTTCAAGTTGACAAAATTCTTTAATTCTATCAACTGATGTCATCTGTAGAAAAAAAAAAATTTTTTCAATGTGTTAAATTTAGAAATTGAAAAAAAAATCATACAATTCCATCAATAACCATAATTGTGCTTTGCGTAAATGAAAATCCAAGCATTAAATTACTTATGTAAAGCATTGCTAAAGTATTTAGGAATGCAATTTTTGGTGTTGAAAAATATACACAAGTAACATTTAGCAATAATTGTGTTAGAAAAACCCAAGTAAAACATATTCTACATGAATATAGAATAAAAGCCTGTGAAAAGTAGAAATATTGAAGATTTGTGTTGAATATATTATAGAATTTTTCAATTAGTTGATTTTCTCTTCTAAAACAACGAATAGTGATTAATCCTTGGAGAGTTTTATCTAATAATTCATAAGCCGGACTTGCACTGACACTATCTAATCTTTTTAATTTACTGGAATAAGGTACCAGTTTAATTACTGTAAAATAGCTTGCTATTATAAGCAATACTAATGGAATAGCTAAAATATAAACATTTGCTATTGCTAATATGATTGAAAAAATCATTCCACCTATAAAGGTTATTACCCAAGCAAAATATCTATGTAATAACATATCAACTAAGCCCATATCTCTTGAAAATCTATTCAATATTCTCCCTTTTGGATAAATGTTGAAAAATCTCATACCAACTGAAATTACATTTGAGAATAATTCATTATGAAGATTTATAGAGCTCAGAGTGATATTTATGTAGAAAAGTAATTGTCTTCCACCATCTAGTATCAATATGAAGAAAAAGATTATAATGATTTGATAAATTGTATCAGATGACCATGAAGTATTTGCAAAATCATTAATTTTTGAATCTAAGTAAAATTTCATATTAAACATAAAACAAAACAGTAATAAAGAGAGGCCTAGTGCAGTTAGACTACCAGTTTTAAAATAACTTAGATATGTTCTCCAAGTTGACATTCCCTCTGTATTTTCTTCTTCTTTTACCCCTCCTTCTCTTTCATTAAAACTATAATTCTCTTCCTTAACATGGAAATAATCCTTTTTCCCAACATTTTCTACATTTAGTTGATTAATATCTAATTTTTTTATTTCTTTCAATTCTCCATCATTACCATTCAGTGAAAATATTTGATCAGCCTTTTGTAAAAAGTGAACTTGATGGGATACAAGTATAACAATCTTTCCTTTAAGGTAACCAAGGATACAATTATCCATTACTTCCTTAGCAACACTCCAATCTAAAGCACTAAGAGGATCATCTAAGATATACATATCTGCATTTCTATAGACACATCTTGCAAGTGCTATCCTTGATTTTTGACCACCACTAAGGCTAAATCCTTTCTCTCCAACAAAAGTTTTATCTCCATTGGGAAGCATGTCTAAATCCTTAAAAACAAAAAACAAAAATTGATATTTTTGAATTGATTTTAAAAACATAAGCTTAAAGCATTATTTTCCAAACCTTTTGAAGTGAACAGATTTGTATAACCTTTATATATTTTTTTAAATGGAAATCATCTCCAAAAATGATATTATCAAAAATAGTTCCATTAAAAATCCAACAATCTTGTGATAAATATGATTTTTTATATGGAATTTTCATTGAACAATTAATATTCAATTCTTCCAGTAGAGATAAAAGTAGGGTAGATTTTCCAGAACCAATTTTACCATAAATTCCAATTAAAGATGGTTTTTGTACAGTTAAATTAATATTATTTAAAATCAGTTTAGATTGTGGTGTATCCTAGAAAAAAATATATATATATATATATTTATATAAATTGAATACTGAGTACCTACTTTCCATTTAAAATAGACATGATTCAATTGACAAACTGTTGTATTTGTCTCTTCTTCATATGTAGGTTTTTTCTTATTTCTTGCTAATAGGATAGTCTTATAAAAAAAAAACAACAATTTTTGTTTTTTCACTAATTTTTTTAAACAAACCTGAATTCTCTCTAAAGATATACGAAATTCATTCATTAAGAAAATAAGTTCTGGTAAAAGGTAAAAAACTTGCATATCAGTTAGAAGAACTAGGCCTATATATCTCATCACTGATGGTGTATTTAATGATTCTGGTATTGTTAATTTAGTAACAAATATAGATGAAATAAGTACAATTTTAACACCAACTGTACTCAATACTCTAAAACATACTGTATATAAAAATGTTTTTAAAAGTTTTAATATTTCATTTTTTCTTAAAACAGCAATTTTTTTTGAAAAATATTCTTCCCAAACTTGAATTCTTATAGTTTCAATTCCATTTAAAACCTCATTCATAAAATGAATTCTTTTATCAGTTTTAGATGCAATTTCACCAGTAATTAAACCTTGCCTATATCCTATAAAAATTTGTAGTGATGCAATTAAGAAAACTGTTAGAAAACATGTCAATCCTGATGGATAACCATGTAAAATACCAATTAAAATTGGTGTTGCAAATATGGAGATAACTGATCCACAAGCTATATCGAAATAAGCAAATGTATATGGAATTTTTTCAAGATCTGTTGAGAAAATAGACAAAATTTTCCCAGAAGAAATTTCATGTAAATTTTCATAATCAATAAGCAAAATCTTTTCAAAAATACAACATCCAAGTGATGCTTTTAATCCAATACCATATTTTAAAGCAAAAAGAACTGCTACATTTACAAGAATATTATCAGCCAATGAAAAAATAGCTGTAAATTAAAAAAAATAATCTTTTAGAATTATGATTATAATTAGGATTAGGATTTTTAAATTGATAACTCTGATACTAACAAAGTAATATAGCAATGATATAAGTTCTTAGAGTTACTTCTGTTAATAAATCTTCTAGTAGAATGTGTATTAAAAATGGAGCTGAATATCTCATTGCAGTCTGTTGAGTTTTTGTATAAAAAAATGAAATTTTTTTTTTGTTATTCTATTTTATTAATACAAACAAAAATTGATACTAAAAGTAAAAGTAAAATGAATGATAATTTTGCTTTTTGAAATATTATTTTAAATAATGAGATATCTTTCTTCATCTTTTCTTCTTGTTCCCTTTTAATATGTCTATTAAAAAAACAAACAATAAATAGATAAAAATAATTTTTCCTTCTTAGCTTAACTCTTTAAAATCTTGATACAATTTTCTAGAATCAAGTCCATTGGATTGTTCATAATGTTCCAATCTTTCAGACCAGTCTTCACCTTTTGTTATAAAATATGGCCATCTAATTGAAAAATTCTTATTATTTCTAATCAAATGAAAAATAAAAAACAAGAAAAATTTACAAGATAAATATTCTTGAAAATAATGAACTAGTAGATTCCGGATTTTTCAATTTCATTCTAAATTGAAAAAAATATCTTTATAGAAGATAATTTTTTGGTAAAAATGGAGAAAAAAGTCATAAACAATAGTATTATTTGTCAAATATTTGTCTATCTAAAATGTAGTGAGTATTAAAATTTATACTTACATAAATTTCTTATCCAAAGTGTTTTTAAGTTTAATATTTTGGTTTAATGGAAAAAATCTAGCTTCTCTCTCACTCTTTTCTTCACTCACTAACCCTCTTAGCAATATATCTGATAGTGTTCCATTTGAGATAAAAACCTGTTAGCAACTGAAAAGAATATAAAACCCTTAGAAATATATATATATATATATATATTGAATATTTGTTTGGCCATAGTCATGGTTCAACAGATTTTTATAGAATGCTGTATGGCAATATCTCCTCCATTTCATGTGCACTTAGAAAAATAGCAATGTTATAATACTTAGACTTTAGATATTGTAGAACTTTAGAAAGGCTTTAATTTCATAGCAATTATAATGGTGCAACTATAGAATGATTTTTATGTCAAAGGAATTATAATGATGGAAGTTTAGAAAAAGTGTTATTTCATAAGAATTATAATTGTGGAGCTTTAGAAAGACTTTTATTCA